AATTGGACTGATGACCCAGTCTGTTGCGATTGGTCGACTGCGTTCAGCATGAGACAGAGAGAAAAGCCCACCACGGCTATGAAATAGCAGCCAGAGAGTATATGAAAGCTCAATGCAGGAATGCAATAAAGCAATGCAGTTAAACACTAGCATATTCCTCTACTCTTAAGCCTAACCCCAAGTAATAACAACACACATTCAGTATTAATTTACACAGTGGCAAAAATGTAATTATTTTGTAAATTGACTGCGTCGTGTGTGTGAAACAGCAGATGCTGGCTTGAGCAATGGCAAACCGCAGAGGATCGCCAGTTCAGAAAAAACATCTAAGTCGTTAAAGGAAGAAGCACGCATTGCGTTTTAACGTGGTTTTGGATGCGATATGTGAACAGCCCCATACAGATTTAACCTGAGAGATACAGTACAAGCCCTGATCTATAATCGATAAGTGATTACAAGGCGTGGGGGTTATTACAACTTATAACACACAATTACACACATATTTTGCAAACTACACAAAGCGAGGAAACTATTTTAAGGACACTTGCTTGTTATGATCCGAAAGAAGATGAAACTGGTCCATTTGAACTGTAAAAGTTACTGAGTTCCCTGTCGAAGTCTGACAAAGTTCCATACATAATAGTCTCTGCTCATCCTTTAATAGCAAACGGCTGGCAAATCCCGCGCTGCAGCGTAGGTTATTGTTTCAAAAATCAGAAAAATGACAGGAACAAACACAGCACTGGGTTGGCTATACTGTGGTGTTGTTGGGAAAATAAACTTTAGTCCTTTATTCCCTGCAGCCTAGGGCGGCGTCCATGACATCTCCTCACTTTCGTCCGCGACAATCCCCCCACCACCCCGGTTCTCGCTGTTGTACGCACAATCACACCCCCGTCTCTCGTTTTCACTTTTGGTTTGAGGGCGGCATGATCATCTTTTGCCTAGAGTGCCGGTTCAGTTTGCTCCGGCTCTACCCGCAGCCGAATCTCCATTTGTCAGTGATCGTAATCTTTGCATCATGATCAGTCCCGTGATCCCCCGTGCCACCGCTAGTGTGTGGAGGGAAAGTGCGTGCACATTTTAACAGAACTAGAACTACATATTTGGATATGTACCGTATAGACGTTGATGCAATCAAACAAAAGATCCGAAGCCAACTCGATTCGTTTATTCGACTCTGAGTCAAATATTTCTCTAAAGAATCAATAGCTTTAAACAAGCTGCACTTTTAGATTTAAACATTAACTGGGTGTTTTTATTAACTTGTTTTGTTAACTTGAGCTGTTGATGCACACTGCATAGAAGGTCATTTTCAAAAACCCATCATAGGGGCTCTTTAAAGTAAAAAATAGTAATAGTTCATTCATTCATTCATTCATTCATTCATTTTCCTTTGGCTTAGTTTCTATTTCAGAGGTCGCCACAGCCTAATGTACCGCCAAGTGTCCCAGCACATGTTTTATACATCGGATGCCCTTCCAGTCGCTGCCCAGTACTAGGAAACACCCATACACATTTACATTCTCAGACACACAAACAGACACAGACACAAACACACGCACACACTTATACACTACACCCAATTTAGTTTATTCAATTCCCCTATAGCGCATCTGTTTGGACTGTGGTGGAAACCAGAGTACCCGGAGGAAACGACGCCAACACGGGGAGAACATGCAAACTCCACACAGAAATGCCAAATGACCCAGCTGGGACTCGAACCAACGCCCTTCTTGCAGTGAGGCTACAGTGCTAACCACTGAGATACTGTGTTGCCATAATAATAGTATTGATAAATAATAATTATAACAATAATTCCTTGTCTTCTCCTCACAATGATCCCATATTAGCTGCACCTAAAAATAACGCCTCTGTAGTCATTTACGAGGAGGCTGAATTATGAATGTGGCTAATTGAATCTGAGCCACGCTCTGATGACTATGTTTTAGTAATGTTACGTTACTCACTCCACGTGCGATCACAGACTCTGATCGGGATGTTTCAGAGGTGAATTTGAGCTCTGTAGTTGATGTTAATTGGCCGGCGTAGCATTGCAGTGGCAGCGGCTGACGCGGTTGTTATGGTTGAGCAATTCTCACTGCATTGTTTGGTGCTAAACTTGACAGAGTTCCTCATTAATAGTCAGCGTTGCATGGTGTGCACATCACGGCTGTGCTTTCTATGCATATGCATACTAATATCCGCATATAAATATATAAATGTATATGAACGAGAGGAAAATTGATGAGAAAAATACTCAGAATTCTGGCTTAATGCTAGTTTATCTTCAATCTGGATATTTTTTATCAGGCGTTTACGTAATGGATGTTTCTAACTCCCCACGTTGACGTGGGTTTCCTCCGGGTGCTGTGGTTTCCCCACAGTCCAAACACATGCTGTACAGGTGAATTGGATAGGCTAAATTGTCCGTAGTGTGTGTGTGTGTGTGTGTGTGTGTGTGTGTGTGTGTGTGTGAATGAATGTTTCCCAGTGATGGGTTGTGGCTGGAAGGGCATCCGCTGCATAAAAAAATGTGCTGGATAAGTTGGCGCTTCATTCCGCTGTGGCGACCCCGGATTATTAAAGGGACTAAGCCGAAAAGAATATGAATGAATGAATGTTTCCAATTCCGTGTTGATTGTCTTGACATTTAATTAATAGATCTTTTTGAACACGTAACGTGCATGCAAAAGTGAGTTTTTGGATTTTTATGTAATGTTATTGTTTAAAGGTGTCATACTGAGGTGTGCTTCCCAAACAACGCCGTAACTCGCAGCTGAACTATCATAGTACGATGCATCATTTAGGTAAAGCAAGATGTAGTGACGAGTGTTTCCCAAAATCCGTTGCGTCTCTGTTGCAGATCTATCGTTTGAATCACGTTAGATATAACGTAAAACCTCCATAATGATGCTCTAAACGTGGTAGACTAGCAACTTCTCTAGAGAAGATCCCCATGTGTAAATTATATTGTTTTACATGCACACACATTAAAAAAAAAATCTAGTATTAGTAAAAATATGCACTCGCTTTCCATATTAACTGAAATATGTAAATGCCACATAAAGGCCCTGTGTTTCCTTTACAAATATTAATGAGAACGTTACATGTTCTGTTCTAAAACAAAAAATCACTTGCAAAAGCTAACACGTATTCTAATATCATATAAATAAATAAGGAGGCTGTTTATTAGGAAGTTAAATTTTAATATTTATTTTTTACTAGGAAATTTAAAACATCCTACTTTAATAATAATATTATTGATGATATTGATGATGATGTTTACTATTATTATTATTATTATTATTAAGTAGGATATTGTTCATTTATTTTTTATTTTTCAATCTTTTACAATTTGACACAATCACTGCAGAACTGTTCTAATCAACAGGCTTTAGTCATATACAGCACAGATACTTGATAAATAACCTACTATAAATCAAAGAGCATAAACATATTCTATTTTTTTTTTTTTTTTTTTTACAAGTTTTGAAGATGTAAAATATTATCCGCTTTTAAATAATAGGTCACCTATAGCTTTCGTTATCAGGCTGTGTTTAAAATGACATCAATATTTTCAAAGTGCACTGCGGAGGGAGCGTAATTGTAAACATGCAGATGGCTAAAACTGAACTGTAAAAACACTTTAAAAGCAAATAACTCCTAAGAGTGATCACTCTAATGCTAATATAATGAATGTTCTAAATGAATAGGGCATAGTGGGGAATAGCTGGGAATAGAACACAGTCAGGAACTCTGTTTCTAACTACACCTCCAGAGGTATAGATACAAGCATACAAGTTTGCGACGCAGTCTGCGAATGTTAGTTGGAACGATGGATTTGGGAAACACTAAATCAACAAACTATGTTTGTAACGACAGAACTTGTGTTCTTAGTTGGCTGACGATGGTTTTCGGACACGCACTCCTGTATGTATGCATTGATGTAACATGTAAAATTATTCTTTGATATCTTAGTAAAAGGTATGTGGTGTAGGTGCATGCAAAGATATGCTTATACAGGTAATTTTTTAACCTAAAGTGTTGACCTTAAAGGTGCTGAAGGTGATCTAACCGGTTAGCATAATATCTTTGAAACACAGTCCCACCACGCCTCTTAAAAAACGAATGCGCACGCAACAGACAACCCACTATTTCATGTCATTTGCCAGCTAGAAATGTAGGTAGTGGTTGGCCGGTGGCGTGCAGGAATTACACTTATTACTAGGACATACTTGCATGCTATTTCAGAGTGAATATTCAGAGTAGCATGGTGAACAATATAGGCAGCTCGTCACACTTTGTTTAGAAATGACCCAATGTGATTATAAAAGCTACTTCAGCTCAGTAAAGCAGGCTAGACAGAATAGCGCTAGTTACTGATGTTTTGATGTTAAACTAAATAAAAATCTACATTATCGATGCTGTAAAAGGACCTTATAAAATCACATCAATCTTTTACTGGGAGATTTCAGTGGCTGAACAACACTTCCCTAATAACCCATTCATAAAGCAATTTACATCAGCTTTACATGACTACAATAGTTTAAAACAGAACATTACCTGTCTAAATGAAATACTTCAGCCATGGTGTCATCCCTTCTCCAGCGTGCAAAACTCACTCCAATATTGATTCAGGATTTTAAAAAGTTTTGATTCTGCTATTGATTTTAACGCTGTCATCTCATGTGTCTTGTGTGCACATGATCGCGCGGTGTGCATCCACGGCTACACGTGCTAATGGCGGATCTGTGTGAACAGATGTGCAGATGCACAAATCTACATTTGTTGATAAACAGTTTGGGCTACTTATGGGAACTATGGAAGATGTCGGACTGACAATATTTAATTGGATGAACTCTTAGTTTTATGCCTTACCCAGAATATAAAAACACATAAATACATTTAGATCATTTACTTTGATCATTACTATTGGACTGTGAAGAGATTTTCAACCAGCACAGCAAAAAAACCTCATTATTCTGATCTGTTTCCAGAGCAGTTTTCGATGCCCATCCAGTGCACGGACGGCCCTGTGGAGCAAACCGAGGAGCCGTTTTCCCCACCACCGGAGCCTGAAATCCAGGACACTTCAGGAAACCCTTCAGCATCACTGGCATCTCGCAGTGCTAATCCATTTTACGATTCCCTTCAAGACCTGGTGGTGAAGTTTCCTCCAAGCGCAGAGGAAGATTACGCCTTTCTGCACAGTACGCCGGATGTGTGTGTGGATCTGCCTCTGCACAGGCCAGACCTGCCGGATCACATGCAGAAAAACAGCAAAGAGTCTTACCTGTCTTACTGCCCATCCACTCTGCCGTCACACACACCCGCAGCTTCAGCACCGCAAGAAAATGTTCGAGGGCCACAACAGGTAAGATATACATTCACACCCAATGTTTCATATAAATATATATATATATATATATATATATATATATATATATATATATATATATATATATATATATGTATATATATATATATCTGTGTGGGGGTCATCATGGATGAAAGTGAAAACCAGTGGGGGAAGGGGGGTTGACGTGGACTAAAGTGAAAACCAGTGAGGGAGGGGGGTTGTCACATACAAAACCAGTTGGGGGGACAAAAGTGAAGATGGTGGGTTGGATCGCGGGCGAAAGTGAAGACCGTGGGATGAATTGTGGATGAAAGTGAAGACTGTGGTTGGACCGCGGGAAAAAGTAAAGACTGGGGGGTGGGAGGGGTGGGGGGAAGCAGGGGTGTCGCACACTTAAGTAAAAACCGGTGGGGTGGGGGGCGTATCACAGACAAAGATTGAAGGCCGTGGGTTGGATTGCGGGAGAAAGTGATGACCGTGGGACAGATTGCAGATGAAAGTGAGGAACGGGGGTTGCATCGCGGGCTAAAGTAAGGGGGTTGTAGCAGACAAAACCGGTGGGGCGTGGGTGGGGGGCGTATCAGGGACAAAAGTTGAAGGCCGTGTGTTAGATTGGCGGAGAAATTGAACACTGTGGGGCAGATTGTGGATGAAAGTGAAGACCGGGGTTTGGATCGCTGGTAAAAGGGAAGACCGGGGGTTGGTTTGCGGTCAAAAGTAAAAACTGTGAGGTGGATTGTGAATTAAAGTGAAAATGAGGGGTGGAATCGCGGGCTAAAGCAAGAGGGTTGTTACAGACAAAACCGGTGGGGCAAGGGTGGGGGGCGTATCACAGACAAAGGTTGAAGGCCGTGGGTTGAATTGTGGAAGAAAGTGAAGACCGTAAGGGTGGATTGTAGATGAAAGTGAAGAACTGGGGTTGGATCATAGGCAAAAGTGAAGACCATGGGGATGAAAGTGAGGACAAGGGATTAGATTGCGGGCAAAAGTGAAGACCGTGGGGTGGATTGCGGGCGAAAGTGAAGACCGTGGGGCGGATTGCGGATAAAAGTGAAGACCAGGTTTTGGGTCGCTGGTAAAAGTGAAGACCGGGGGTTGTTTGCGGTCCAAAGTAAAGACCATGGGGCAGATTGCGAATCAAAGTGAAGACTAAAGGTTGAATCGCAGGCTAAAGTAAGGGGGTTGTTGCAGACTTGGGTTGGGGGGGGGTGTGGGGTATCACGGACAAAGATTGGAGGCATTGGGTTGGATTGTGGGGAAAGTGAAGACCGTAAGGGTGGATTGTAGATGAAAGTGAAGAATGAGGGTTAAATCGTGGGCAAAAATGAAGACCATGGGGCAGATTGCAGATGAAAGTGAAGACCGGGAGTTTGTTTGCAGTCAAAAGTGAAGACCGTGGGGTGGATTGCGAATGAAAGTGAAGACGAGGGGTTGGATCGTGGGCTAAAGTAAGAGGGGTTGTCGCAGACAAAACTGGTGGGGCGGGGGTGGGGGCTGTATCTCAGATGAAAGTGAAGGCCGTGGGTTGTATTGCGGGAGAAAGTAAAGACCGTGCAGCAGATTGTAGATGAAAGTGAAGAACGGGGGTTGGATCGTGGTTAAAAGTGAAGACCGTGAGGCAGATTATGGATGAAAGTGAAGACCGGTTGAATCGGGGGCAAAAGCAAAGACTGTGGGGTGAATTGCGGATGAAACTGAAGACTGGGGGTTGGATTGCGAACGAAAGTTAAAACCGGGGGTTGGATTGCAGGGTAAAGTAGAGACGAGGTGCTGCAAGATTTTCTATTTTAACATAAAATGTACAAATTCGTACAAAGCTTATACAAGATACAGACACAAAATCTAAATTACCTGCTGTTAGAAAACGTTCTATGACCCCAACATGTTACATGAACATTCTCACCCAAAGCTTTTATTATTTTATTGCATTTATTTTTTAATAATGAATATTTTTATTCAAATTATGCTACATACATGCCATTAAACCATACACTTGTACAAGGGAAGAGGAAGAAAATACGTACATATACAGTTAAAGTCAGAATTATTCACCCTCCTTAATCTTTCTTCAAATATTTACCCAAACGATGTTTAACAGAGCAATGAAATGTGTACAGTATTTACTATCATTTTTTTTCCTCTGAAAGAAAGGTTATTTAGACTGCAATATCACAAATCAAATCAGTTTTTTTGTTTGATCTTGTGGAATATATAAGTATCTGTTATGCAAATGTTAAACATCTTACATTTCCTGCAAAGGGTGTGTAAACTGTATATATTTGCAGCTTGCGAAATTGCAGAGGAAGTCTAATTAAAACGAGTGTAAAAAAAGGCAGATGAAAGAACCCAATTGTTTTTACCTGTCCATATGGAGAACTGCGAAACTCACACCTATTATGTAAGGCTCACATCTGCACGGGAATTCAGTGCTATTGCATTTAGGATGTCAATTAGGATGTGCTAAGACCACCGAGAGCTGCGAATCACATATTACATGTTGTGGTACCATTACGCTTGTTTCTGGACTGTTCTTTTTTTTTTAACTCTCTTTGAGCATGAAAGGCATCACAGATACCTGGGCTCATCTGTTTGAAGAGCTGGAGAAAAATATATAGTGTTTGTTGGCAAAACAGACTTTTCCAGCATAATGACTGGATTATGAAGCGTACATCTGGTGTCATCCAAAAAAAGAGCATTTCCTTTTGGTAAAAAAGTCTTGTGATGTTTGCAAATGGGCAGATGATAAAATACCACAATAACAGACTCATTATGAAGTCTGTTGTTTTGATTAACATGCAGATTAATCAATATCAATAGTATTTTTTATTCCCAGAAAATTCTATATGTTTTATATTATGACTCCTATTCTTATTATTCATTCATTCATTCATTTTCTTGTCGGCTTAGTCCCTTTATTAATCCGGGGTCGCCACAGCGGAATGAACCGCCAACTTATCCAGCAAGTTTTTACGCATCGGATGCCCTTCCAGCCGCAACCCATCTCTGGAAAACATCCATACACACATTCACACCCATTCACACTCATACAATGCGGACAATTTAGCCTACCCAATTCACCGGTACTACATGTCTTTGGACTGTGGGGGAAACCGGAGTACCCAGAGGAAACCCACGTGAAGGCAGGGAGAACATGCAAACTCCACACAGAAACGCCAACTGAGCCGAGGTTCGACCCAGTGACCTTCTTGCTGTAAGGCGTCAGCACTACCTACTGCACCACTGCCTCGCCCCATTCTTATTATTAATAATAATAATATTATTGTTAATTAGTAATTATCAGAAATATTTTTGTTTTGGCTAGAATTAAAGCAGTTTGTTTAAAAGAAAAAAACTTTTTAAGGTCAATATTATTAACCACTTTTATACAATGAGTTGCCTAGTTACCCTAACTTGACTAATTAACCTGGTTAAACCTTTAAATGTCACTTTAAAGGGCACCTAGGTTACCCCATTTTCCAGCTTTAAGATAAGTCCTCAGAATGTGTCTGTAAAGTTTCAGCTCAAAACACCCAGCATATTATTTATTATAGCTTTCTGAAGTTTCTGTTTTATAGCTGGTAAATTCTTGTTGCTGTTTTTTGTACTGTGCCTTTAAGGCTAGTCCTCCCTAACCAACGTTCCCACGTGCCCAACAGCATGCCTCAATTGCCGCCCTCGGCTGCCTCAGGAAGCAGATCTCACGTAACGTTTGTGAGAAATGCTACAGTAAGAACTTTACCGATCAATGAGTATTTGATCCATTTGTTGAGAAGTTGCAACGATCAGCCACACACAATGTCGTTACAAAGTACACACACACACATAGCGCAGACACGCACACAAAGACTTTGCACTCTTTTTGCAAATATGGCATTTGTGACAGGATACAGGTTAATATCCGCTGCTGTATGGATATGCGTTATGTTAATGCACAAAATAAACCTGATTTAACGTCCACAAATCGGGATTGAAGCGTCTTCTTTTATAATTGTTCTGACACGCTGCTGTGCTGATGAAGTAAAGCTGAAGTGAATCGCTGTACTTCATTACACACATGCTCTGTTTTAAAACATTTTAAACTTGAAACTCACTCTTGATCACATTTGATGATGATTGATGATCCTAGCAAACTGAACAGACCTTTTATTCCCTGTGGCTTTGCCTACTGTATGTCCTGGTTTGTTGATATGATTATATGCGTTACTACGGAAACATGTTAATACGCAGCTGTCAAACATTATTGGTGGGCGGGGGGACCGCACTCCTATGTCACATTGTGGTCGGTCTGAAACCGCTCCAATTGGTCCACATATACACACATATACACACACACACACATATTTATATATATAATGTATAATATATATTATATTTATAAATGTATATATGTGTGTGTGTGTGTGTATATATGTGTGTGTGTGTGTGTGTGTGTGTGTATATATATTTATATATATATATGTGTGTATAAATAAATTATATATATATATGTATGTATATATATATATATATATATATATATATATATATATATATATATATATATATATATATATATATATATATATATATATATATATATATATATATATATATATATATATATATATATATATATATATATATATATATATATATATATATATATATATATACATACATACATACATACATACATACATACATACGTACACAGTTGAAACCAGAAATTTACATACACTAATAAAAGGATCATAACCATTTTTTATGTATGATGGTAAATTGTACTAAACTTTTATTATTTTAGGTTTGTTAGGATTACCTAAATGATTTACTTTTGCTAAATGCCAGAATAATGAGAGAATTTTTTGAAAAAAATTTTTTTTAATTCTAGACGTCAAAAGTTTACATACTTTTCCTTGTTTTTTTTTAGTTTTGCTTTTAAACTGTATAATTTCGAGTAAATGTTTTGAGTATCCTTCCACAAGCTTCTCACAATAGTTTGAGGGAATTTTGGCCCATTCCTCCTAACAGATTAAGTGTAACTGAGTCAGATTTGTAAGCTGTCTTGCTCGCACAAGCTTTCATCTCTGCCTACAAATTTTCTATAGGATTGAGATCAGGGCTTTGTGATGGCCACACCAAAACATTAACTCTATTGTCCTTAAAGCACATTTTAACTAAATTGGCAGTATGCTTAGGGTCATGGTCTGTTTGGAAGACCCATTTGTGGCCAAGTTTTCATTTCCTGGCTGGGGTCCGTTCTTCGTACGTGGATTACTCAGTTAGCTGGATTTGGATATTGACGATTTGACACGATCCAGGATCGTTTCGTTCTTCAAAGCTGATCCGAGAGTTGTTGTCATAGTAACAGTTTTGCTTGGTCAAACCTGATCGGGAGCAGGTTCAATTCACATAAACAGGATTAGATCGGCTCAGTTAAAGCAAAGATAATACAGAAAGTATGTTCCGAATTCTGATATTTTCTTACAGTAGTAGTTATATACACTTGGGAAAAATGGTACATATTTTTTAACTAATATATATAT